ATGAGCAAAATCGATCGAATCGTCTGCTGGAACGTCGAAATATTCATTGCCACACATGAGGTCAGGATGGGATGGGAGTTGGGATAGAAGAGGAGGGAGGAAGAATCTAGGCATGGGAGACGACTCGCGACAATGTCGGCATCGGGGGAGCAAGAGGAGAGAGGGGGAGGTCGGGACGGGGAGGTCGGGATAGGAGGTCGGGAGCGARAGGTCGGGATGGCAGACACGAACACAGGAGGGAGAAGTCGGGATCAGAGATGGAGAGTTGGGACGATATTGGGGGAAGGAAGGAGAGGGGGAGAGAGGTCGAGTCGAGAAGGAAGGGAAGGTGGGGGAGAGGGGGGGGGGGGGGAGGGGGGGAGGGGGAGGGGGGAAGAAGTCGGGATGACGTCGGGATGGGATCGGAGTCGGGACAGAGCAGAAGGGAGGAGGAGTCTAGACATGGGATGGGAGGTTAGGACGGGAGGTGAGGGAGTTGGGAGGTCGGAACCAGGGGGTAGGGATAGCAGACGCGAACAGAAGAGGGAGAGGTCGGGGCAAGATCGGGGGAGCAAGGGAAGAGAGGGAGAGGTCGGGACGAGGAGGTCGGGATAGGGGGTCGGGACCGGGAAGTCGCGGTTGGAGACGCGGACAGAAAAGGGGGAGGTCGGGATCAGGGAGAGATAGTGGGGAGAGAGAAGTCGTTGGGATGATATAGGGAGAAGGAAAGAGAGGGAAGAATAGGGAAGGAAGTGGAGAGGGGAGGGAGCGGAGCAGAGGGAGGGAACGGAGGGGAGCAGAGGTCAAGACGACATATCAAAAACAACATACCCATGAAATCAACTGTCTTCGTCTTTCTTTTTTTTTTTTTTTTTCCTGCTCCATCGGTAAACAAGTACGATTTGTGTAACTTTTTCGTTTTTTTTATATATTTTGCAATGAACCCAAGTCGTGGATACAATGTCGACACTGAAAGCCAAGATTATCGAACCAATGATAGATCTTCAACGACAATAGTATCCAATAAGAAAGTGGGGGGTGAGATAATCATACACGGACGAAGAGAGGTGGGGGAGATTAGACAAGGGAGAGGGATAAGGCCCACTCCTTCTCCGGGCT